GGGGAGGACTGCAGAGCCTCATGAATAAAGGCAGCTGTTCGCAGTCTGAGCTCCCCCTGGTGGTGGGGAGGACTGCAGAGCCTCCTGACTAAAGGCAGCTGTCAGGTGTTAGTTCTCCTGCGTGTGCGCGTTGCAGACCATGCAAACTCCACACAGAAGGAGCCCCCGGCAGTGAAGCCACTGTCAAGCCCCCCTGCTGCTTCAATTCGGTACTATCGGGTCAAACACTACCGCTGGGAGTTCAGGGCAGAAGGAAAGACGAGCCTCTCAGGAAGGTTAGAACACATTTGCAACCTCTGTGTCACACCTACCGAGAAGACGCACGTGTCGGGTCATGCGGGTGTGTCGCCCGAGTGGGGCACCTGAGGGCCCGCAGGCACAGGACACCGGTGTCCGCTCTCCGTTCTCAAGCCGAACCCCGTTTCGGAGCGTGTCCACATCTGCCCAAATCGTGTTTCGTGTTCGTGGCATCCGGCGCAATGTTTCGGTTCCAAAAAAGGGAAGACCATCGTCAGCGCCGCCGGCTCTTCCCTGCTCATGGGCGAACTGGAGCACCAGGGCCGGTTGCCCAGACTGTGCGCGTCAGCTGGTGCCTCCGGACAGCTGGGCGCTGGCCCTGCGCTCAATCAGAGCACCCGGGCACCGGAAGTCTTCCCCCACCCCAGCAGAAACGCCGAGTCCGGCTGCGCCCTGGGGTGTAAAATCCGGCAGGGTGGCGGGGGCCGGATCCCCGGGGGGAGATCGGACCAGAGATGCGAGGCTGTGCAGGGAACGGGAGAAAACGGAGCCCGCAGCCCTGATCACCTGAAGAAGGTGTTTTGAACACGACTGGATCTTGAGACGCAGGGTGTCTGAGCAGCTGGTGTGGCACACCCCCCACAACGTCACCTTCTCCCTTCCTTGTTTTGGAAACCGAAAGTAAAAGTCTGGAAAAGGTTTCTCTTCCTTCGCCATGGCGTCCGCTCTGGTGGAGGAGCTGCAGTGCCCCGTGTGTCTGGGGCTGTTCTCGGACCCGGTCACGCTGCCCTGCGGGCACACCTTCTGCCGGGGCTGCCTGGAGAGTTACCTGGCCACAGACGTCCCGGTGCACCTCTGCCCGGAGTGCAGAGCCCCGATCCCCCGCCGGGACTTCAGGACCAACCGGGTGCTGAGGAACATGGCTGACAGGGCGAGGCAGGAGGAAGAGAAAGTGTCCGAGCAGACAGACCTGCTGTGCGTCGAGCACGACGAGAAACTCAAGCTGTTCTGCGAGACGGACGGGACGTTGATCTGCTTGGTCTGCCGGGACAGCAGCAGCCACCGGGGACACGGGTTCAAGCCCGTGCAGGAGGCGGCGCAGGAGTTCCGGGTGAGGCCGCCGCTGTTCTCGCCTGGAGAGCGTGAACCGTCCCCTCCCTGGTCATGCCGAGACAGCGGCTCCGCGCTCGAACCCCGATCCGATCCATCTGGCGGAGCGAACAGCCAGCGAGACGCTCTTTCGTTTCACTTCTCAAGGCTTTTGTTGAACTGGCGTCTGTTCCTGCGTCTTTAGTTGTGTGCTGACTGTGTCATCTTCTCTCTGTCACTGTTGTCTTGTGTGTGGACTGTTTTAAGCCACTTTTAAAGGCGCTGTATAATATATTCTAATGATTATTATCACCGTAGGAGGCTGACGTATCCAGCGAGTGAAATCAGATGTAAAAGATTGACTGTGGACTGAGTTAGACTGAGGAGCCGAACCGCACTGAGCAG